TCACTCCTTGTCTCTGAGCTCTCCAATATCTCAAGAACAGCCCAAATTTCCCAGGGGCCATAGGCTTCCCATGATCTGACCCATGACCCCTGCCTGCATCTTCCTTCCTTTGGGCTCTGCTCCAGCCCCTCCTGTGCCAAGGCCTCTGCACCTGCTCTGGGCTGTGGGACTCTTTCCAGATTCTAACAATTGCCTGCCTTCCTTCCTAGCTTGGCTTGCATGCTTTTTTTTTTTTTAATTGGTTCTCTTTTGTTATATATGATAGAATTATTTCTGATGTAATTATACAAACTTGGAATATAACTTATTCTAATTAGGACCCTGTTCTTGTGGATGGACATGATAGTGGGATTCACTATGGTGTATTCATATATGTATATAGGAAAATTATTGTGGATTCATCCCACTGTTTTCCTTTTCCTATCCCTGCTTCCTTCCCTCATTCCCCTTTGTCTCATCTACTGAAAACTATTCTTCCCCTCTTCCCCCCTTATTGTGGGTTAGCTTCCACATATTAAAACATTTGATGTTTGACTTCTTGGGACTGGCTCATTTCACTTAGGATGATAGTCTTCAGATTCATCCATTTCCTGGCCAATGTCCTAAAGTCATTCTTCTTTAAGCCTGAGTAATGCTCCTTAATGAGACCTACCCTCCCTCATCCACCCTGGGAAATTGCAAACTCTGTCCTGCCCAGCACTCCTAGCCTACCTAGAATTTTCAATAGCACTTAGTGTCTTCCACCATATAATCTAGTGATTTATGATGTCAAGGTACTGGGAACACAGCTGTGCAGGGAACAGGTCCTATTCTTACAGAGCTGACATCTGAAGTGGAGAGGGGGCAAGCATTAAACAAAAATCACACCATCACTCCGCTAATTCCAAGTGTAAGGCACATAGTAAAGGAGACTGCCAGGAAGACAGAACATTCTCAGCCTGAATGTGCCCTAGGATTCCACTTCACCAAGCAAATTGATCATATAGCATTACTCCCCCCAGGGAGGGCATGGGGGCATAAGAATAGATGGAAGCATTATACCCAAAGGTCTCAATATCTTCCCAGGGAGGGTCAACATCAATAAGATATGGACAAACTGCTTTATGCACCTTAAAATATAAAAGTGGACTCACCTGCATGCTTACAGGTAGTGTTAACTTTCAGTTGTGAAAACCTGATGTTGTCAGCTTCAGAAAATGATGAAACCAAAAGTTCCACAGCAGCTGCCAAATCTCATGCATTCCTCACAACCACTATTTTCTATTTTACAGGAGAGGAAGTTGAGACTTCAGCAACTTTAAGGAGCCGCCAAGGCCATAGAATTTAGTTGGATGACCCAGGCCTATCTAACTTATCTCCACTATACCACAGATTAGTCTTTGAGAGTTTTTCAAAACAGAGAGAGAGAGAGAGAGAGAGAGAGAGAGAGA